CTACTTGGTGGGAGGAAGGAGACTAACAGAGATAAAGCAAGGAAGGGAGGAGTGAAGGGAAACAAATATCAACAGAGCATAAAGCTATAAATGGATGGTTCTGTATATTTTCATCTTTTTGGTGAAAAAATGTAAGAGCATTTATTAGTCCATTTTCTATAAAATTTAAGAAGTCTGACAAACTGGATGAAGTACTTGAGTCAAAGATTATGTAGACATCAAGATGACAAAGTCTGCTTTGGTGTTTTCTGGAGTCATTTGTCTCAGCTGTGCTTTTGGCCCAGCTATTTAATCTCTTTGAATCTTAGTTTCCCTGGTCACAAAAAAAAGTGGTAATCATAATTCATGCAAACTGCTGAGTTTAATATTTGGAATATTGTCAACTTCCAGAAAAAAATTGTTACCAGTATCATTATTATTGTTGATTTTATGTGCAATGGGGGGGGGGAGACCAGCAAAGATTAGGCACTTGCCTGGAAACACTGGGTGATAAATAAGCAGTCAAAACAAGAATACTGGAGTAGGGGAGATGGCTCAGTGGGTAGTGTGCTTGACATGCAAGTGTGACAAGCAGAGTTTGAACCCCCAGAGACCATGGAAAGCCAACTGTAGTACCTTACATCTGTAATTTCAGTGTCTTTCTGGCAAGATGGGAGACAGGAGAATTTCTGGAACTAAGAAATCCTGTTTCAAACAAGATGAAAGCAAGGGCCAACATATAACGTTTTCTGATGTCTATAAATACAGAGGAATATCTGTACCTGCATTTACACATACAAACAATGTAATAATCCAGGCAGACCAAGGGAAACCTGGCCCAGAGAATCACCCCTTTGCATTTGGCAGACAGTACTCTGGCCCTTTAAGAGGCAAGCTCTGCCCACTTCTGCTCTCCTTCCCCCCCCCTTTTTTTTTTTATTGAGAATGCAGCTTTGTCTCCCTCTGCCTCTCAGTCTTCTCTCTCTTTATTACCTTGCCTTACATTAATAAATTTTTGACGGAAGTTTTGTAGTTAGGTCTCTGTCTCCCACCTGCTATTTGTCCCCTACCTGCTGCAGGATCCGATAAAGGTCCTAGCTTGAGCCTTATTCCTAAAAACTGACACATATCATACACATACACCAACACACATGCACATGTACACACACACACACACACACACCATGGGTACTATGCAATCTGCTACCAACTTTTCAAATGTTTATCACAGACTAAGAGGGTAGTATACCTCTGTATTCCACTGTTTGTTGTTTTTGTCTTTGAGACAGCATCACTGTGTCTGTCCTAGAACTTAAAGAGATCTGCCTGTCTCTACCTCCTGAGTTCTGGTGTTAAAGATATGTGACACAATGCCCAGCTTCATCCAACTTTTATAACTTCAATTAGGCAGCATGGCTAAAGAACTAAGGTACCCAACAAAGGCTATTGGAATCTACAAAAAGGGACACAAAATAATATATTGACTAAAGAGTTAAGTTCCAGTGGGATGCAGTAAGTTGGGAAGTCTCTAATCAAATAATTGGTGCACATTTCAAGTATTCATGGGGTTTGTGAGATGGAGATGATGCCCAGGTAAGTCAGCTTGATTAAAGAGAGAGAGAGAAAGAGAAAGAAAGAGAGAGAGAGAGAGAGAGAGAGAGAGAGAGAGAGAGAGAAGGCAGGCTCCAAATAGGCACAAACAGGAAGTGCCTGAATAATTTAGCTAGAGGAAGAACAAGGACAAAATATCACAAGTAAATATCTGGGTCAGAAATGAGCATGGCATGCCTATCTATGATGACACTGTAGTGTTGCAGAGTCAGGATGGATACGGATTCCTTGCAAGGATAATAGATGAAAACTATATAGTCAGCGTGAATGAAGTGAGCTAACTTCTGTTTAAATGGTGGTACAAAGTTCAACACAGTGTAAAAAGCAGCAAAAGCAAATAAATGAAAAATGAAATGTAAAAAAGACACAAATGGAAAGAAAACAGGATCTCTTGGTGGTTTTCATTTTTAAAAAGAATACATGTAAATCCAGATGAGCCTGTGTTCTTGACAAGTGTGATTCTAGGTAATTGAAATATTGAAACCTGAGATTACATCACACTGCACATGATAACATTTTGGTCAGTGGTGGATTATATGTAACCTAGCACTTCTCACATTTATAACACCCTAGAGCCACCACCTTCTGATATCATCTCGAGGATGTGGCAACAAGGACCCATCTCTATAAGAACTTGGGTCATTTTCCCTTTCCTTTGTTAAGCCCAGATGGCCAGAGCTACCTCCCTGGCCTGGGCAACCACATGACAATGCCCATTCCCCACAGAGCTCCCTTAACCCAGCCACAAACATGGATCCTGTTCTCTGGTGGATCGATACAACTTCTGCTCTATTTATTTGTATCTCTTGTACAAGGATAACTGGATAGACTTAAAATTTTTTTTTACCTTATCTGTTCTTTTGTCCCTAAACCAAGATCCACAATTCTTAGACCTGAAATGGAAAATTATCTTTGAACACTACATTCCTTAGAAGTCCTAGTTTTCTGTGAGTGGAAGTCTGGTATAGATATAACACTTTTATCTGAAGGACCTACAAAAACTTCATAGTACAATCATTTTCATAAATTAACTGGCAAGCAGTCAAATATAAGCCTCTTACTTTACAAAATTAAATGTTTTAAATTAAAACTGTGAGCCAGGAAGTGGTGGCACACATCTGTAATCCCAGCACTCAGGAAGCAGAGGCAGGCAGATCTGTGAGTTCGAGGCCAGCCTGGTCTACAGAGTGAGTTACAGGACAGGCTCCAAAATTACAGAGAAACCCTGTATTGAAAAACCAAAACAAACAAAAATATCGCGAGTCTGTTCCCTGTTCTCCATGTTGCATTTTGTTATCATGGTTTCTGCTGGCTGTTTTCTTCCTAGGTAGATTGGTATAAAGACAACACAGAAAAAATAGCATTCTGATCATTTTCAAATTTCAGTGCTGAGAAGAGAACATAAGACATCATGCATGCTCTACCACTTTCTGTTTATTACTCTATAAATGATTGCTGCTTTGTAAGAATTATTCTAAAACATCACCTAGGATACCATCCTTTGCTTGGAGCAGCATTAAACCAACAGATTTTCTTTCAGTGTTTCAACTGTAGGAACTAGGATTCTGTCTAGGTTAATGTAAGAAATATATACATGAGATGGGCTGGGGGAATTTAAGGGGGACAGGAGGAGGGGTTGGAGGGAGAACTTTGGTTAAAATGTAAAGTGCATTTTAAAAAGCAATAAAAAGTAAAGCAATAAAAAGTACATAGAAAAATATCATGGTTAAAATTTCTGCTTTTTAGCTGGGAAATCTATAGCAACCGACTTTCCTGCATGCGAGTAAGGAAAAGGAACAATATCATTTTATGATTCTTTACATTTGTTTTACTTTTTTTGTTTGGTTGGTTTTTTTGTTTGTTTTGGTTTTTTACTTTTTTTAAAAAAAAGTTCAGAACCTATTTATGTATCCTTGGCTGGCCTGGAACTTATTGTATAGACTACACTGGCCTTGAAATCAAATATAGCAGCCTGCTTTTGTTTTCCAGGTGCCTGGAATTGAAGGCATGCCACCACTCCCAGCCTATGGTCTTTCTATTATGTTTTAAATGTTTATTTATATGTCTGTATGTGTGACATGTGTTGAGTGCTGCTGTGCATGTGTCACAGTGCATGTGTGGAGATTAGAGGATGAACCTGGTGAGTTGGATCTTTCCCTCTACTGTGAGCTCCAGGGATCAAATTCAGGTGGTCAGGCTTGCATCTCAAATGCTTTTACCTTGTGAGCTATCTCTCTGGTCTCCTTTTCCGGTCTTGATGAGCTAACTCTCATTACTCTCAAATGGCAGAGCTATCGGGCCAGAATGACTCCAATCTTGTCTCTCTCCACAAATTACAAAGCATTAATTTATGGAATTAAGGGGTTGGTCAGGTGATTGGCTACTATCCCCTCTTAAAGTGTGGTGAGTAACCTTCTAGAATGTTTCCCAAGTTCATGGTTTATCGTGAGTTCCTTTGATCCACTGCAGTACCATTCTGCTTGAAAATGACCATGTCCTTTCCAGAAACACTCCCTAACCACCTGGCATATGCATATACTCTCACCTGGGCAAAATAATAATGTAAACAGAAACAATAAGATGTGTAGAGAGACAATGTGTTATTCCATGCATACTTGCTTCTGGAACTTGGAAAATTTCATGACGAACATATCCTATTTGGGGATCCACAAGGGTGACCACAACTAAGAATATAAGCAATAGTGGAGAGGCTACCTTAAATGTCCTTCCCCTATGAGACTGATGACTACCTTATATGCCATCCTAGAGCCTTCACCCAGTAGCTGATGGAAGCAGAAGCAGAGATTCACAGCTAAGCACTGAGCTGAACTCATGGAATCCAGTTGTAGAGAGGGAGGAGTTAAGACCATGCTGGGGAAACCCACAAAAACAGCTGACCTGAGCAAGTGGGAGCTTGTTGATCCCTGTCTAACATCTGGTGAACCAGCATAGGACTGAAACAGCCTGCTGAATGTAGATGTCAGTTAGGAGGCCTGGGCAGTCTATGGGGCCTCTGGAACTGTAACCAGTATTTACCCTAGTGGAGGAATGGACATCGGAAGCTCATTCCCCATGCAGGGATACTCTTTTAGCCTAGATACATGAGGGAGGGTCTAGGTCTTGTCCCAAATGATGTGACAGACTTTGATGATCCCATATAGGAGACCTCACCCTCCCTGGGGAGTGGATAGGAGGTGGGATGGGGTTGGTGGGAGGGATGGGAGAGGGAACTGGGATTGGTATGTGAAATAATATTGTTTTTAATTAAATACAAATTAATAAAAAACACAAAAAATTAACCCAGGATTACTATCTTATAAATTGAGGCCTCTTCAATATTCTGTTTAAATTTCATCCCCTTAGCAATTTCCACTCATACCCTTAACCCAGTATAACTCTCAAAACCAATATGCTGCTAAACCAAACTTTTATTGAACATAAAATCATGACTATACAGAGGATAAGGCACCAACTTTGCACACAATTTCATTTAACAGGTATTTCATAAGTAACTCTTAACAATGTCTATGAACAGTACAGATCTTATTGGAAAACACTTTGGGAAAGCTGATGTACACTTCAGTGTGAAGGACCTGCAAACCGACCATTTCGGGCGGGGTCATATCCCATAGCTGCATGTGGCATTTGAACATCAGGTGGCACAGGTGGCCAGGGAAATGGAGGTGGAGGGGGTGGCCTAGGTGGCATAGGCATCCTGAATAGGGGAGGGGCCTGAGGTGGAAGAGGCAGAATTTGAGGATCCAGTGGCTGTGGCAGCACAGGGTGATATTTCCAAATAACCTCTACAATAGGGATGGGACCATAATGGTCATCCATGTATATGCCCACAGGGGGACTCATGGCCACTGGAATCATGTTTCTGTATATATGTGCCCGATGAAGTTGTCTCCACTTGGCCCTTCTGTTCTGGAACCAAATCTTAAATTAGAGAGGAAAAGTTTTAGTTAGGATAGTTAGGATATTGGACAACTAATGTCATAATAGGAAAAAAAAAATACATGCCGCTGAAATTAAAACTAATGAACTAACATTAACACAGATAAGAAGGGAGGTGGAGAGCATTTCCCAGTCAGATTTCAGAAAAGTTACATTTAAAAAAATACTACCAAAAAAGAAAACAAAATCTTAGATGTAAGAAATTGTCTTTGTTCTTTGGAAATCCAAATAACCATATACTTACTTCAATATTATTTCTGCAACTCTTGATCATGTGATCAATTAGGTCACCATTATATAGAATGAACAGCACAGTAAAATAAAACAGGCACATAATTCGGACTTTTAATAGCTTTTCTGGCAACTTAAAAAAAATCTAATTTGCTCTTTAAATTGGAAAAGAGAAATTTCTGAATAGAAAATTTACTTGAACTTTATTTGTAGTTTCATAAAGTTGAATGGAATCCGTAAAGATACCTATCTTAGACCACATATTTATAACTTTTCTATCCTTCAAAGGTCAGTGAAACAATATACTACAGGTGTCAATTCTGTTTTTTGTTTGCAGTGCTGGGGATGAGCCCAAACTTTACATATGCTAGGAAAATGCCATGGATGTAGCTAGCTAAGCAACATTTGGGAGATCCTGGCATTCAATCCCCAGCATGCACCCATCCAGCCTTGTGAGAAACACACACGCACGCACACGTAATTTCTTTCCCACAAAACAGAAAAGACAACAGAAACACGCCAACTTGAGAATGCCCAGGACAAAACATAACCTAAATGTGTTTTAGAGTACCTATTTTGCCTAACTGTTTTTCAAAAATTTACTAACCTGCACTCTGGATTCAGGCAAACCCAGGCGTCTGGCAAGATTCATTCTGATGAGATTAAAAAAGAGTAATGGTTAGTATTGGAGTTGTGTCTAAAAAGCTATGGATTACATTAAATCTAGTCCCGCCTCGAAGTTAAGTTTTCTATAATAAACAGAGCGACTTGATTTAGGGAATGGCTTCCTATTCACAAGTAAACTCTTCAATTTAAAACTTTTAAAAGGGGGGGAAATATATGTGAAAATGTCTATTCGTTAACTAAATATGACTTTTTCTGTTTGTGAACCAGTAGAAAATAACCCTCGAAATATTTTTCTTGTGAGGTTGTCCTGTACAAAGCCCAAAACGCCAAGTTGCCCATAAAGTGCTACCCAGCTGGCAGCCTTGCTGCTTGGAACTCAACTCAGGAATTTGGACTTGCTAGGCAAGAACTCTAACACTGAGCTAAACCCCCAACCCCAAAGTGGTGCTTTGGACCTGAATATTTCTGTTTATTCTACGAGAGGGAGGTAAACTCTCAAAGAAGAAAGTACAGAACTACTTAGGCCCAATTGTGCCCAATGGAAATTATTCTTTTCTGTTCTTAATCTGAAGGCTGAGTGCCACGAAGTCAGAGCGGGGCTCATTTCACCCACGCTAGAATGAGCAGGCCCTTCCCCTACAGCTTCAGGACTACAGAACATCACAGACTTAGGAAATTTCAGCACTTTTCAAGGACAAGGTGCGAGAAGAGCGCTAGGTGTAGCAGCATCCTACTTAACGCCCAGCGCTGCGCTGAACTCGCGTGCAAAATCAAAGGGTTTTTAAAGTTCACTAAATGAGGAAAGTCACTTTTTACTCTATTTTTAAAATGCCAAACTGCAAAACACTAAACAAAACAAAAAAAAACAAAAAACAAAACAAGAAAAAAAAAAAAAACAATTTACGCTGAACACACTACCAAGATTTTAAGGAAAGCGTGTTCCAGTTCTGCTGCTAGCTGCTTGCTCATCGCTTCCCTCCCGCCCCCTCTGGCCCGCCAACTTCGCCGCCACCCACGCCCCCGCCGGCTCGCCGCCACCCCCTGCTCTGTCTCTACCGTCCCACCTGTCCCTGCCCCCGCCCCCGCCTGTCCCCGTCCCGCCACTGGCGGCACACCGCCCCCCTCGCCATCCCGCTCCCGCTCGACCCCGCCCCGCCCCCCTCCAGCCCGCCGGTCTCCCCCGCCCCCTCCCGTCCGCCCACCTGCCCGTCCCCCACCCCGGGTCCTCCCGTCCCCTCCCCCACCCCTTCCCGCCCGCTGCTTGCTCGCTCGCCCAATTCTGGCGGGTGCACACTTTCCTTAGTCCAGCGGAAAGATCTAAGATGGACCCCAGGCTCTTGGCGCCCCCTAGCCGGTTCCGCCTCTGGAGAGCTATGACCCAGCAAAGCCCCGAGCTCGCCAGCGAAATAGGTGCCACCGCAGGAAATCAGAAAAAGCCTCTCACCGAGCATACACATCGGGGTACTGGATGCGCTGGAAACAGGCCTCCAGCTCCTGCAGTTGAAGCGGTGTGAAGGAGATGCGGTAGCGGCGGCGCTTCGGTTGAGGCAGGGGCTGCATCGGGGGCTGCAGCAGGGGCTGCGGCGGGGGTGGCGGCGGGGGCGGCGGCGGGGGCGGCAGCGGGGGCTGCGGCGGGGGCCGCAGCGGAGGCCGCGGCGGGGGCGGCAGCGGAGGCCGTGGCGGGGGCAGCGGCGGGGGCTGTTTCGGGGGCTCCGGTGGGGGCTGCAGCGGGGGCTGCAGAGGAATCAGCGGCAGGGGTGGCAGGGAAGATGGTGGCTTGGGGGCAACAGCCTCCTTCTCCACTGGAATGTTGGGCTCCTGGAAGCCGCCTGCAACCCCAAGGTTTTCGACCTCATCCCAGGCTCGCGTTGCTTCTTCATCAGGGACATCGGCTTCTTCACTTAAGGGTTCGAATCCCCCATTCTCCTGGTCATTTGTTCCTTCGAGAAATGTCGAGGCCAAGGTGATCTGAGTATCTAGAGAAGGGGAAAAACACAAACAAACAAAATGCCAGTGCGTTGGCGCTCAAACCGCGAGCGCGGGAAGGGGGAGGTGAGGGGCTCCCTCTAGAGCAGTGGTGTTGACTGCACCAGTCGCGCGCCTCTCGCCCTCCCCCCTCGCCCTCCGAGCGCACCTCCCAACACCGAGCTGAGCCCAAATTAAGTTCTCTCCAGATGTTCGCAATGCTATCTACCCATATCCAGGCACTGAATTGGTAAAAGTAAATCTTGCTCCTTCTCACCAGCTCCAAAGTTGGAGTAATCACTTGTGTCTAATTCTGTGTTTTCCCCGTAGTCGGCTCCCGCCAAAATCGTGGAGCTCAAGCTAGGCTGTGAATCTGGAGAAGGAAGATAGCAAAAAAGAAAATCGGGGCATTGGAGCCCAGGGTGCTAGGACAGGAAGAGTGGCGAACTCAACTGTCGTCTAGCTTTGTCAGCATAGGTGCTCAGCTCAAAAAAAAGGTTCCTTTCCCAAGTTCTCATCCAGGCACTAACCCTGAAGTGTTTCCTCCTTCACTGGCCCTTCCAAGTTGTTGAAATCAGTGCAATAGCAGCAGCTGCAATTGGAGTGAGATTCCATGGCTGGAGTGCTGTGCGTTGAGTTGCTGGCTGCTGCCGCTTCGGAGAGGTGCGCTAGAGGTGGTGCCTGCAGCCTTCCCCGGACCAGACTGGCGCTCCTCTAGGAATCACGCCCCCTTTTATAGTGTCGCAGGCGCGTAGGGATCAGATTTTACGTGGTGTGCTTCCGCTAGACGCCCCTTGTAAGAAATAGGAGTACGTCGAGTAGGAGTGCATTGAACCTGTAGGGGGTGCCCTGGTTACTGGGAAAGCGTTTGTTAGTGCCGGTTGGACTTTGAACTCACTGCGCGCGCCGAAACTAGTTTCCATTGCAGCCAACTAACTTCTGAACTCGGTGGGGGTGCCCAGGATTCAGGAAGGGGCGGTGCAGGATTGTGAATCCCAATTTAGCGGCTGCGAGCTCGCATGAGCTCGTATAACCGGAAGTATTTACCCAATGTTCTAAAATTTATTTTCAGTGTTCTGAAGTATGCACTAGCCCTTTGTCATTAATTTCCCTCAAAGAAAAGACATAGGCATACGGATTGGGAACAGGCATCCTAACAAAATGGGTCCGTTTTTTATTTTGGGTACTGAAACGTTCTTTCCAAGGATTCGGGGACTAATGACTAGGACTTTTGGTTTCATACTGCTCTCAATTACAGTCTGTGAACTGGACCTTTGTTTAGATAGGAGATTGTTTGAGGTGTATTTAAAATGAGAGTTCACGAAGCTTCGCCAGAGCACAGCAAATTTTTTTCTGTAGACGAACTTGCAGCGAATTCGGGGTGACGCCATTCAGAAACACCTTGCAATAAACTTCATGCGCCGTTTTAAATGCTCCCAGACTTTAGAGTTTTGTTTTGTTGTGTATTTTTGAAATTAAACAGCGCCAGAGTATATAAAGAAATCTGCCAACTGCTAACACACCCAAGAATACTTGCGGGACCCTTCCTTAGGTTCCTGGCATTTGGCGCCTTTGTGCCTGATTGCTCTTAGTGCAGGGTACATTGCAGAAACTTTCTCTGCAATTTAGCTTAAACTGGCTAAAGGCGGGAGATTGCTCTGCCTCCCCAGGTGCCATTCACTCCTCTCCCTCTCCCATTTTCTGGGACTATTTTAACATATCTCCTCCCCTTACAAAATAGCGAGTCAAATTTAAAAGGGATTTGTAATTTTGCAAAACATATGCGCAAGTGCTTTACAGTGCATTAATATCCTTAATATTAAAGTATTTTATAAGTGTGGTGCCTGTGTTTGGCACCACACGATTTATCATACTTTACAATCACTTTTATTACCATTCATAATTTTTTCAGAAGATTTATTACAAAATCTTCACTTTATAACTTACACATTAATTCAAAGGTCTAAATAAGTATGTATGAGGCAGTGTGTGTGTGTGTGTGTGTGCGCGCGCGCCTGTATATGTGGTGTGAGTGTGTGGATGAGTGTGTGTGTGTGTGTGTGTGTGTGTGTGTTGTGTGCAGGTGCTTCAAACCTGGATCTGGGGCTCTACTTCGGACTAGGCCCAATCCCTTTGCATCAGAGCTATATCTGAATCACTTCGAACTGAGTTTTGGGATCCAGCGGTGCTGGCTTTTTGAGCTATGGTTCCAGTTTGCACAGAAATGAGGCAAATAATAATAATAATAATAGGGCAAGCCCCAAATAAACCGTGTTCCCCCCCACCCCTCCATGTACGTTTCACTGGCTTTTCTCCCTCCCTAGTTTGCACAGGAACTTGGGGAGAAAATGATAGCCTGGGCTGGGAATGCTTCCTGTCCCTCTGACCGTCAAACCCAATCTGGTGTTTTTAAGTTTTTGGCGCAGGAACATGGGGGGACATGAATAGAGTGTGCTGCGAATGCATCCTGTCCTTCCACCCCCATCCCCATATTTGTATCACCGGCTTTTCTAAGTTCTATGGCTCCAGTTTGCACAGGAACAAGGGGAGAAATTAGGGACCATGGGAGAAATTAATAGCATGAGGCCCAAATGCATCGAGTCCGTCCGCCATGTTCCTGTGTCTACGTCAATTGCTTTTCTATCGCTCCAGTTTGCACAGGGACGATGGAAGAAATTAATAGCGAGGAGGGTGGGCGTGGAAGGCATCGTGTCTGCCTGTCCCAAACCCCCATCCTGCCATATTGGTTTCTCTGACTTCTATGACTCCAGTTTGCACAGGAACCAGGGAAGAAATTAGGCACGAGGAGAGAAATTGATAGTGTGGGCCCCAAATCATCGTGTCTGTACTGGCTTTTCCACCATAGCTCCACTTTGCACAGGAACAAGGGGAGAAATTAACAGGGTGTTCGGTGAATGCATCTTGTCTGTCCTACCCACATCCCCGTAATAGGTCATAGGATTTTCTAAGTACTATGGCTCCAGTTTTCACAAGAACGAGGGACGAAATTAATGACCTGGGTCCAGAAAGCATCATAACCCTCCTCGTGTCTGTTTCACCATTTTTCCCTTTGGCTTCAATATACACAGGGATGAGGCTAGGCGAGGGGAGAAATTAAACAGGAGAAATTAGTAGTGACCAAATGCATTAAATGCATTGTGCCTCCCAACCCCAGTATGTTTGACTGGCTTTTTTTTTTTTTTTTTCTTCTTTATTTTTTTCGATTTTCGAGACAGGGTTTCTCTGTGTTGTTTTGTAAACTGTCATGGAACTAGCTCTGGAGACCATGCTTGGTTCCAATTCACAGAGATAGATACACCTTCCTCTGTTTCTCCAGGGCTGGGATGCAAGGCGTGCACCACCAATGCCAGGCTTTCCTGGCTTTTTTTAGGACTCCCCTTTGCACAGGAACAAGGGGTGAAATTAGGAACGAGGGGAGAAATTAAAAGCTTGAGTCCCAAATGCATCGTGTCTGTCCGCCATGCCCCCGTGTGTCTACCACACTCGCTTTTCTATCTCTCCAGTTTGTACACGAACCATGGGAGAAATTAATAGCATGGAACATGGGCCTCCAAAGCATCATGTCTGTCTTCCTCCCCCTCCCCTTATCTGTTTCTCTGTCCCTTCTTTTTATTTTAATTTTTGTTTTTTCTTTACTTTCACATATTTAATTTCTTCTTGAGAACTCCCAGCAGCAGATTGTGCTACCTCAACTTTTTTTTAAATAACATTTTCTCTTATTTTACATGTTGATCACAGTTCTCTTGCCCTTGCATCTTCCCATGTCCCCCACAGACTCCCCCATCCTATCCCCTATCCACTCCCCAAGGAAGGTGGATGAGGCTTTCCATGAGGGATCATTAAAGTCTGTCAAGTCATTTGGGGTAGGGCCTAGGCCCTCTCTTGTGTCCCTAGGCTAAGGTAGTATCCTTCCATGGGGAAGGGGATCCTGAAGTCTGATCCTGCACCAGGGATGCATCCTGGTTCCATTGTCAGAGGCCCCATAGTCCTTTCACCCCTCCTAAGTAACACCCACAATCTGGGGTCTGGGTTTGTGCTATCTACCCTGGTTTCCTAGCGATCAGTCTGGGTTCCGTTAGCCCCCCCCCCCCCCCCCCCCCGCTTGTTTTCACTGGCTTTTCTTGACGACAGTTTGCACAGGAACGAGGGGAGAAATTAGGCACAACAGGAGAAATTAATAGCGTGTCCCAAATGCATCGTGGCCGCCCCCAACTCCCCCGAATCTGAATCTGTTTCATTGGCTTTTGTTGTTGTTGTTGTTCTTGATTTTTCGAGACAGGGTTTCTCTGTATTGTTTTGGAAACTGCCTGGAACTAGCTCTGTAGATCAGGCTGGCCAAATATATTCGCTTCCCTCTGCCTCCCAAGGGCTGGATTGAAGGCATGCACCACTAATGCCAGGCTTTACTGGCTTTTCTATGACTCCAGTTTGCACAGGAGCAAGGGGAGAATTTAGGAGCGAGGGGAGAAATTAATAGCGTGAGTCCAGAATGCATCGAGTCTCTCTGCCATGTCCCAGTATCTCCTTCAATTGCTTTTCTATTGCTCCAGTTTGCACAGGGACGATGGGAGACATTAATAGCAAGGAGGGTAGGCGTGGAATGCATCGTGTCTGTCAGTCCCCCCCCCCCCACATCCCTCCCTATCCGTTTCTCTGAATTCTATGACTGCAGCCAGCACAGGAACTAGGGAATTAATTAGGCACGAGAAGAGAAATTAATGCGTGGGCCCCAATGCATCGTGTTTGTACCCCCAACACGGTGTCTTTTTTACTGGTTTTCCACGGCCCCAGTTTGCACAGGAACAAGGGGAGAAATTAGGAATGAGGGCGAAATTAATAGCTTGAGTCCCAAATGCTTCGAGTCCGTCCTCCATGTTCCAATGTCTCCTTCAATAGCTTTTCTATCGCTCCAGTTTGCACAGGGACGATGGGAGAAATTAATAGCGAGGAGGGTGGGCTTGGAAGGCATCCTGTCTGTCTGTCCTAAACCCTCACCCCGCCATATCGGTTTCTATGACTCCAGTTTGCACAGGAACGAAGGAAAAAATTAGGCACGAGGAGAGAAATTAATAGCGTGGGCCCCAATACATCCTGCCTGTACCTCCACGCCCATGTCTTCTTTTTACTGGCTTTTCTATGGCCCCAGTTTGCGCAGGAACGTGGGGGGACATGAATAGGGTGTGCGGCGAATGCATCCTGTCCATCCAACCTCCATCCCCATATTTGTTCACCGGCTTTTCTAAGTTCTATGGCTCCAGTTTGCACAGGAACAAGGGGAGAAATTAGGGACCATGGGAGAAATTAATAGCGTTGAGTCCCAAATGCATCGAGTCTGTCTGCCATGTTCCAGTGTCTACTTCAATTGCTTTTCTATCGCTCCAGTTTGCACAGGGACGATGGGAGAAATTAATAGCAAGGGTAGTGTGCGTGGAAGGCATCGTGTCTGCCTGTCCCAAACCCCCACCCCGCCATGTAGGTTTCTCTGACTTCTGACTCCAGTTTGCTCAGGAACCAGGGAAGAAATTAGGCCCGAGGAGAGAAATTGATACCGTGGGCCCCAGTGCATCCCGTCTGTACCAGCTTTTCCACCATGGCTCCAATTTGCACAGGAACAAGGGGAGAAATTAACGGGGTGCGAATGCATCCTGTCTGTTCTACCCACATCCCCTTAATAGTTTCACCGGCTTTTCTAAGGTGGATGGCTCCAGTTTGCCTGAGAACGAGGGAAGAAATTAATGACCTGGGCCCAGAAAGCATCATAACCCTCTCGTGTCTGTTTCACCATTTTCCCCTTTGGCTTCAATATACACAAGGATGAGGCTAGGCGAGGGGAGAAATTAAACAGGAGAAATTAGTAGTGACCAAATGCATTAAATGCATTGTGCCCCCCCAACCCCAGTATGTTTGACTGGCTTTTTTTTTCCCTTTTCTTTCCCTTTTCTTTCTCTTTTCTTTTCTTTTCTTTCTTTTTTTTATTTTCGATTTTCGAGACAGAGTTTCTCTTTATTGTTTTGTAAACTGTCATGGAACTAGCTCTGGAGACCATGCTTGTTCCAACTCACAGAGATAGATACACCTTCCTCTGTCCCTCCAGGGCTGGGATGCAAGGCGTGCACCACCAATGCCAGGCTTTCCTGGCTTTTTCATGAGTCCCCTTTGCACAGGAACACGGGGTGAAATTAGGAAGAGGGGAGAAATTAAAAGCTTGAGTCTGAATGCATGAATGCATCGTGTCTGTCCTACATGTCCCCTTGTGTGTCTAAGTCACTTGCTTTTCTATTGCTCCAGTTTGTACATGAACCATGGGAGAAATTTATAGCATGGAACATGGGCCTCCAAAACATCATGTCTGTCTTCCTCCCCCTCCCCCCTTATCTGTTTATCTGTCCCTTCATTTTTTTTTTAATTTTTTTCTTTCCTTTGGCATACTTAATTTCTTCTTGAGAAATTCCAGCAGCAGATTGTGCTACCTCAACTTTTTTTTAAATAACATTTTCTCTTATTTTACATGTAGATCACAGTTCTCTTGCCCTTGCATCTTCCCATGTCCCCCACAGACTCCCCCATCCTATCCCCTATCCACTCCCCAAGGAAGGTGGATGAGGCTTTCCATGAGGGATCATTAAAGTCTGTCAAGTCATTTGGGGTAGGGCCTAGGCCCTCTCTTGTGTCCCTAGGCTAAGGTAGTATCCTTCCATGGGGAAGGGGATCCTGAAGTCTGATCCTGCACCAAGGATACATCCTGGTTCCATTGTCAGAGGCCCCATAGTCCTTCCACGCCTCCTAAATAATACCCACAATCTGGGGTCTGGGTTTGTCTCATCTATGCTGGTTTCCCAGCTATCATAATAGGTTCCATGAGCCCCCCCCCCCCGCTTGTTTTCACTGGCTTTTCTATGACTATGCTTTGCACAGGAACGAGGGGAGAAATTAGGCACAACAGGAGAAATTAATAGCATGTCTCCAATACATCGTGTTCACCCCCCAACACCCCCAAATCTGTTTTACTGGCTTTTTTTCCCCTTGATTTTTCGAGACAGGGTTTCTCTGTATTGTTTTGGAAACTGCCCTGGAACTAGCTCTGTAGATCAGGCTGGCCTGGAACTCAAAGAGATTTGCTTCCCTCTGCCTCCCAAGGGTTGGATTGAAGGCATGCACCACTAATGCCAGGCTTTCGTGGCTTTATTATGACTCCAGTTTGCACACGAACAAGCGGAGAATTTAGGAGCAAGGGGAGAAATTAATAGCGTGAGTTCAGAATGTATCGAGTCTGTCCGCCATGTCCCAGTGATTACTGCAATTGGTTTTCCATCGCTCCAGTTTGCACAGGGATGATGGGAGAAATTAATAGCGAGGAAGGTGGGCGTGGAAGGCATCGTGTCTGTCTGTCCCAAACCTCCACTTTGCCATATTGGTTTCTCTGACAACTGTGTCTCCAGTTTGCACAGGAACGAGGGGATTAATTAGGCATGAGGAGGCAAATTAATAGCTTGGGCCCCAATGCATCCTGTCTGTACCCCCACGCCCATGTCTTTTGTACTGGCTTTTCCTCGGCCCCAGTTTGCACAGGACCGTGGGGGTACATGCATAGGGTGAGAGGCGAATGCATCCAGCACATCCATCCCCATCCCCATACTTGCTTCACCCGCTTTTTTAAATTCTATGGCTCCAGTTTGCACAGGAACAAGGGGAGAAATTAGGGACCATGGGAGAAATTAATAGCATGAGGCCCAAATGCATCGAGTCTGTCCGCCATGTTTCAGTGACTCCTTCAATTGCTTTTCTATCGCTCCAGTTTGCACAGGGACGATGGGAGAAATTAATAGCGAGGAAGGTGGGCGTGGAAGGCATCGTGTCTGTCTGTCCCAAACCTCCACTCCGCCATATTGGTTTCTGTGACGTCTATGACTCCAGTTTGCACAGGAACGAGGGAAGAAATTAGGCACGAGGAGAGAAATTGATAGTGTGGGCCCCAAATCATCGTGTCTGTACTGGCTTTTCCACCATGGCTCCACTTTGCACAGGAACAAGGGGAGAAATTAACAGGGTGTTTGGCGAATGCATCTTGTCTGTCCTACCCACATCCCCGTAATAGATCACAGGCTTTTCTAAGTACTATGACTCCACTTTTCACAAGAACGAGGGGAGAAATTAATGACCTGGGCCCAGAAAGCATCATAACCCTCCTCGTGTCTGTTTCACCTTTTTTTTTTTTTTAACCTAAGGCTTTAATATGCACAGGGATGAGGCTAGGTGAGGGGAGAATTTAGGGAGAACAGAAGAAATAAGTAGTGGCCCAATGCATTAAATGCATTGTGCCCCTCCTCCCCAGTATGTTTGTCTGGCTTTTCCTTTTTCTTTCTTTTTCTTTCTTTCTTTCTTTTTTTTTTTTATTTTTATTTTCGAGACAGTGTTTCTCTGTATTGTTTTGTAAACTATCATGGAAGTAGCTCTGTAGACCAGGCTTAAATCCAAAGCACAGAGATATGCCTGCCTCTGTCTCTCAAGGGCAGGGATGCAAGGCATGCACCACCAATGCCAAACTTTTCTGGCTTTTCTATGTCTCCAGTTTGTACAGGAACAAGGGGAGAAATTAAGAACGAGGGAAGAAATTAATAGCGTGAGTCCCAAAAGCATTGTGTCTGTCCGCCATGTTCCAGTGTCTACTTCAATTGCTTTTCTATTGCTCCATTTTGCACAGGGACGATGGGAGAAATTAATAGCGAAGAGGGTGGGCGTGGAAGGCATCAAATCTGTCTGTCCCAAACCCCCACCCCGCCATATCGGTTTCTCTGACTTCTATGACTCCAGTTTGCACATGAACGAGGGAAGAAATTAGGCACGAGGAGAGAAATTAATAACGTGGGCCCCAATGCATTGTGTCTGTATCCCCACGCCCATGTCTTTTTTACTGGCTTTTCCATGGCCCCAGTATGCACAAGAACGTGGGGTCATGAATATGGTGTGCAGGGAATGCATCCTGTCCATCCAATCCCCATCCCCATATTTGTTTCACAGGCTTTTCTAAGTTCTATGGCCTCAGTTTGCAGAGGAACAAGGGAGAAATTAGGATGAGGGGAGAAATTAATAGCGTGAGTCCTAAATATCATCGTGTCCATCTGCCATGTCCCAGTGTCTATTTCAATTGCTTTTCTATCGCTCCATTTTGCACGGGGGGGGGGCGGGAATTAATACTGTGGAGCATGGGTGTCCAAACCATTGTGTTCATCTTCCTCCCCTTTCCTGTCTCTCCCTCCCTCTCTCCCTCTCTCTCATTTTTTAAAAAAATGATTTTTGTTTGTTTGGCATATTGGATTTCTTTTTGAGAACTTCCAGCCATCTATTGTGCTATCACAACTTTTTTATACTAGTCTTTCTTAGTTTATACATTGATCACAGTTTCATCACCCTTGAAGCCTCCTATGTCCCCCAGGAACCCTCCCATCCCCATTGACTCCCCAAGGAGGACGAGGGATCACTAAAGTAGGTCAAGTCTTTTGCTGTGGGCCTATGCACTCTCTCTTGTCTCTAGGTTAAGGGACTATCCCTCTGTTGGGAGTGGACTCTTGAAGTCTATTCCTGCTTGAGGGATACATCCTTGTTCCACTGACAGAGGCCCCAGTCTCCTAACTGAGACCCACGTTCAGAGAATCTGGATCCATCCTGTGCTGGTTCCCCAGCTATCAATCTGGATTCCATGAGCTCATCTTTGTTTTCACTGGATTTTCTATAACTCCAGTTTGCACAGGAATGACGGGAAACCAGGGGAGATATTAGGCACAACCAGAGAAATTAATAGTGGGCCCCAAGGCATTGTGTCTATCCCCCTCACCCCAGTCTGTTTCACTGGCTTTATTTATTTATTTATTTATTTATTTATTTATTTATTTAGAGACAGGGTTTCTCTGTGTTGTTTTGGAGACTGTCCTGGAATCCTGGAACAAGCTCTGTAGACCAGGCTGGCCTGGAACTCACAGATATCTGCCTCCTGAGGACTTGATTGAAGCCATGCTCCACCAAGGCTGGGATTTACTGGCTTTTCTATGACTCCAGTTTGCACAGGAAGGAGGGAAGAAATTAGGCACTAAGAGAGAAATTAATAGTGTGGGCCCCAATGTATTGTATCTGTACCCCCATCCCGTGTCTCTTTCACTGGCTTTTTAATGGCCCCAGTTCGCACAGGAACGAGGGGAGACATTAATGGCATGGGCCTGGAAAGCATCATAACCCTCCTTCCCAGTTTCTGTTTCATCTTCATCTTATTTTTTTTTTTCTCTAAGGATTCAGTATGCACAGGAATGAAGGGAGACAAGGGTAGAAATCAGATAGAATGGGAGGAATTAATAGAGTGCCCCAGTGCATCATATCTGTCCTTTCCCCCCACCCACCCAAGTCTGTTTCACTGGCTGTTCTATGGTTTCAGTTAGCACAGGAGCGAGGGGAGAAATTAACAGCATGGGACTCAAACTCAAATGCATCCTAAATCCCACCCCCACCCCTCCACCGCTTCTGTTTCACTGTTTTTTTTTTTTTTTTTTTTTTTTTTTTTTTTTTTTTTTGAGACAGAGTTTCTCTGTGTTGTTTTGGAAACTGTCCTGGAATCCTGGAAATAGCTCTGTAGATCAGGCTGGCCTCGAACTCGCAGAGATCCGCCTGCCTCTGCCTCCAGAGGGATGGGATGCAAGGCGTGCCCCACCAATGCCAGGCTTTACTGGCTTTTCCATGACTCCACTGTGCACAGGAACAAGGGGAGAAATTAGGATCGAGGGGAGAAATTATTAGCGTGAGTCCTGAATGCATCACGTCCGTCAACCATGTCCCTATTTCTAATTCACTGGCTCCTCTATTGCTCCAGTTTGCACAGTTACGATGGGAGAAATTAATAGCGTGGAGCGTGGGCGTCCAGAGCATCGTGTATGTCTGCCTACTCCGTCTTTTCTTTCTTAAAAAATTTTGCTTGTTTTCCTTTGTCGTATTTAATTTCTTGTGGAGAACTTCCAGCAGTAGATTATGCTATCACAACTTTTTTTTATAATCTTTTTTGCTTAGTTTACATATTGAACACAGTTCCCTCACCTGTCCCCCACCGACCCCTCCATCCCATCCCCCTTCCACTCACCATGGAGAGTGAGGCCTTCCATGAGGGATCATTAAATACACTCAAGTAATTTGGGGTAGGGCCTTAGCCCTCTCCTGTGTCTCTAGGCTAAGGGAATATCCCTCCATGGGGAATGGGCTCTTGAAGTCTTTTCTTGCACCAGGGATACATTCTGGTTCCACTGTCAGAGGTCTCTCAGACTGCCCAGGCCTTCTAACTGAGACCTGGGACCTGGGTCCCTCCTATGCTGGTTTCCATGAGAGCTTCCCCTTGTTTTAACTGGCTTTTCTATGAGTATAGTTTGCTCAGGAACAATGGGAGAATTTAGGAACGAGGGGAGAAATTAATAGTGTTGAGTTCCAAAAGCATCAAGTCTGTCCGCCATGTTCCAGTGTCTCCTTCAATTGCTTTTCTATCGCTCCAGTTCACACAGGGACGATGGGAGAAATTAATAGCGAGGAGGGTGGGCGTGGAAGGCATCGTGTCTGCCTGTCCCAAACCCCCACCCCGCCATATCGGTTTCTCTGACTTCTGACTCCAGTTAGCTAGCACAGGGACGGGGAGAAATTAATAGCGTGGAACGTGGAGCGTGGAGCGTGGGCGTGGGATGCATCATGTCTGTCGGTCGCTCCCCTCTCCCCTGCTGTATCGGTTTCTCTGACTTGTATGACTCCAGTTTGCACAGGAAGGAGGGAAGAAATCAGGCACGAGGAGGGAAATAAATAGTGTGGGCCCCAATGCATCGTGTCTGTACCCCCACCCCGGTGTCTTTTTCACGGCCTCAGTTTGCACAGGAACAAGGGGAGAAATTAGGAATGAGGGCGAAATTAATAGCGTGATTCCCAAATGCATCGAGTCCGTCCTCCATGTTCCAGTGTCTACTTCAATTGCTTTTCTATCGCTCCAGTTTGCTCAGGCAAACTGGGAGAAATTAATAGCGAGGAGGGTGGGCGTGGAAGGCATCCTGCCTGCCTGTCCCAAACCCCCACCCCGCCATATCGGTTTCTCTGACTTCTATGACTCCAGTTTGCACAGGAACGAGGGAAGAAATTAGGCACGAGGAGAGAAATTAATAACGTGGGCCCCAATGCATCGTGTCTGTACCCCCATTCCCTTGTCTGTTTCACTGGCTTTTCCACGGCCTCAGTTTGCACAGGAATGTGGGGAGAAATTAATAGCATGTTTGGCGAATGCATCGTGTCCTTCTGCCCCCGCCCCCACAAGTGTTTCTCTAGCTTTTCTATGACACAGGAAGGAGGCAGGAGGAGAGAAATTAATAGCTTGGGCAGGGAAAGCATCGTACCCTCCCCCACCCCTGTGGCTGTGCCACTAGCTGTTTTTCCCCTCCTAAGGCTTCAGTTATGCACTGGAAGGCGGGGAGATCATTAACAGCAAGGGCCCTGAAGGCATCGCGTCTGTCTCTTCCCTTCACCGTGTCTGTTTTATTGGCTTTTCTGTAACTACAGTGTGCACAGGAACGAGGGGAGAGTTTAATAGCGTGGGCCCAGAAAGAGCATTCTATCTATCACCCCTTCC